GAACTCACACAGTACTTGCTTTCTTGTGTATCTGACTTACTTTGCTTAGCACAATGTTCTCAAGACTCATCCACGGGGTGGTCAGGGTGACAATTTTCTTCCTTCTAAGGCTGAGCAATATGCCCTTCGCTGGTAACACACTGCATTTTCTTAATCCAGTCACCCACTGACGGGCCCTGAGGTTGCGTCACCTTTTGGCTCTGGTGAATAATGTCACTACGAACAACACTGTATGAGTCTGTCCATGATACTTTGCTTTCAATTCTTTTGGGCATATGCCCTCAAGTGGTTAGATCATCCTCTCTCTTGCTCCCTCTCTCCTTCCCTCCCTCCTTTCTGCCTATGTGTCTCTCTCTTTTTCTATTACATTAAACCCAGGGCTGCTGCACTGAGCTATGTTCCTAGCCCCATGTAGAGAAAGGGTCTGGTTAAGTTTCCAGCTGGACTCAAACTTGCCACTCTCCTGCCTCAGCCTCCCCGAGTGCTGGGATTACAGGCATGGACACTGCATCTGGCAGCATTTCATTTTCTGAGACACTTCCTTCTACCGTGGGCAGTACTCGCGCCAGTGCACACCGCGCTCTGGGCTTCTCCTGTACCTGCAACTCCGAAAGGTCTCCGGAGCCCGCAGGTGTGCTTCCTGCCCTCCTTCAGCTCCATGCGGCCCACGCGGACAATCTGGCACACGAGGCTGATGCGGGGCCGGATGAGGTCCGTGCTGCTGAGGTCCTGGAGCCCGGAAAGAGAAGCCAGGAGAGGTTGCTTGAGTCAGCAGTGACTCTCCACTCTACGGTAGACTTCAGTTTAGAGCACATTCCTCAATGCTGAAACCCCAGAGACCCCCGTCTTTCCCATTCCCACCCCCAAACTATCAGAACATCAGAGAAAACAATTTCCCATTTATACAAAAGCACCTTTCTCATCCCCAGTTCCTACTTCAAAATTCTAAAACAGATTAGAGTCGATCAGAAGTGTCTGGCTTTGCTCAGGTGAATCAGGGTATTTAAAAATCAGGGCAGTCACTGCTGTCACTCGATATTCTCCTAGCATGTAACACAGGACAGGCTGCATCTGGGTGTAGATGAATACAAATGCGTGTGACAGTGACATTTGCTGTGTCTCCACACAGGCCTGTGACATTTCATTTCATCTTCAAAGCAGTGCTGGGAGGCAAGGGTGAGGCAGGCACTATTTTGTACAATTGTCCACCTGCTTTTTGAGAGGAACCCACTGAGAGCTTCTCTGCGTGGGCTGTGTAGCGTGCAGTGTGCAGAGCAAGGGTCTGGGCTCCCGTACAGAGATGAGGTCCGCACTGGTCTGCAGTTGTCAGGCTGGGCACGCAGGCGCAGCGGTGAGCTCATGAATCGCATTCACTTAACATCAGAGCTAATTTCATTACGTCTTGAAATGTCTTTATGAAATAGCTGCCCGAGTCCTCTTTACTAAATCAAGAACTACTTTTCAAATAATTATTCCAAATCTCTTCCCTGTAATTGACTTAACTCAAGTCACCA